TATATATATAGTTCTAGATTATATCGTCAGAGTGTAACATGTCATGTGTTTCTTGCTCCGTGTTCCGCGTGCCGTCGCCCTCGCAATCATCCGAACTGCTGACGATTGATTTGCGGATGTGCTGTCTGTATCCGGGGACGACGTCGTCAGGATGCTGAGGAGTTCTCGTTAGTGGGAGGAACGTGTGTGACGGGTCTGACGCCCGATTCTGTCGCAGACATGCTCGCTGACAGTGTCCAGTGTGGCACGTACTACCACAGGTAAGCTTGTTGTTGTTGTTGTTAGTGGTGGTGGTGGCGATGGTGCCTGTGATGGTGGTGGTGGTGATGGCAGCAGTGGTGGTGGTGTTGTTGTTGTTGTTGTTGTTGTTGTTGTTGTTGTTGTTGTTAGTGGTGGTGGTGGCGATGGTGCCTGTGATGGTGGGGGTGGTGATAGCAGCAGCAGTGGTGGTGGTATTGTTGTTGTTGTTCTTGCTATAATTATTATTGCTGCTGCTGTTGTTGTTGTTGTTGTTGTTGTTGTTGTTGTTTACGTCTCACGCGGCGTCTCTCCTCGCCCGCAGGCTGGCTGAGTTCTCGCGACGACCTCTCGTGGACTCCGGCTACACGGCAGGTCTCGTGTTCGCGGCGTACCTGGGCGGCGTGCGTGCGTACCTGCACGGTTACCGCGCGTGCGTACTCGCCGCCCCGCGACACACAAGCCTCCTCAACACCACACACCTGTTCCAGCGCCTCCGCGCACAGCTCAGGTGAGTACTTTACCTGCTCAATATATTTAGTGCGTGCGCGAGCGATAAATTCAGCGATCAATAATTTTGCCGATTGAATCGCGCGTACCTGCAGCCTGAGAGTCGGTCAGTCTTATTGACGTGAAAGGTCGGTCAGTGTGTCGCACATACGTCCGTGAGCTAGGTGGCTGGATCGCTAGTCTGTGCTGCCATGTGGCTGGACGTGGTTGAGGTAGGCTAGCCGCATGTAGTGATACACTGATTACTGCTCTGAATTGCCGCACTGGTAATTAGAATGTGTGTGATATACAGTCTCAGTGGAGAGGGGTATACCCTTGGTAGCAGCTGTCTCTCTCTCTTTCACTCACTTCTCTCTCTCTCTCTCTCTCTCTCCACCCCTCTTTCCCCCTCTCCCCTCCATGCTGTGTCTTTATTGCTCTCTCACCCCTTCCTCTCTTCCTGCAGGATGGTAACAGGGACGAGGGATTCTCCGAGCAGTCCTCCTCACGCTCGCAGTCTCCCGTCGACGAGTCGCCATGGGAACGCGAGAAGAACATCTGGGAGCTTGCGATGGAGGAGGAAGGTGGCGCCCTCTACAGCTGGGAGACCATCGGCTGGTGAGTTCGTCTTCGCTGGTTACTTTTGCCTAAACGTTTCCTTGCCCTTCGTTACACGTCGTAAAGAGAGCGAACGGGCGAGTTTATGGACCGTACAAGCGTTTGATTATTCCAAGTGGATTTTCTTCACCATATGTATACGTCACAAAGAGAGAATGGACAATTCTTCGATTATTCAATGTTGATTATTTGATAATGGGGTGAGGGGGGTTGGTGATAGGGAGGGGCGATCCGCGATTCATGCGTCTCTCACCTGCAGCGCAGCGACAGCTGCTGCAGAGCGCCCCCTGCTGACGGATGCGGGCGGGCGTGGAGTGGACGAGCTTCACTGTGCACTGCTGCGGGACGCGACCGCGCTCGTGCCCGGCCTGACTGCACCCCCGCGCCGCGAGGTTCTCGAGTCCGTGCTCGTCGCCGACCTGCTCAACTTGCTGCTGGGCCTGCCGTCCGGATCGTTCCACTTTGACGAGGTGGGGGTGAGCGACGTGCGTGCGATGCGTTAGTCACTAGATTGCTGTCATTGCGTGTAAACCCGAATTTAGTTTATAATTCTGCTATGCTTCTAATTCGCTACTTGTAGTCGAAAAATGCAAAATGTGATGATGTAACAAGTAAAACTACAATGAGTAGACTAAAAGACGCAAAATAATACCGTACATGTGTCAGAAACCTCATATTCGCACCTTCCAAAACTCTCATCGGACCTTCCAAAAATATTGCTGAAAAGTCCCAGACCTGCGGGCAAAGACCACTATTTTCAGCCCCTGTATATATATATATATATATATATATAT